TGTAGCTTTGTGCTCGAGCAAATGGATATCTCTAATTAATCTTCCCTTTGTATGCTCTACCTAACTTATTCACATCTCTAGGAGAGGAGGATTAATCTGCTCTACGCTTTATATTCTCCAATCTTACGATTTTTTATGTTACTTGCTGCAAAGCTACTATTTATTCTTTCTTTATTTGGAATGCACTTTGAAACAGCAGAAAGTAAGGGCAACTGCCCGGTTTGCCGTAAAGTTTTCCTTGCGAAGGATATAGAACATGTCCACGGCATGGTAGGAATGCAAACACATTGGGTACGTCTTTATATGTTTACTAGCTCAGCTGTGAAACAGCGTAAAAACGCAACTTCATATGAGTTCTTACATGAGAAATGAATTTATTGGTCCGAACGCAAACAATCTACATTATTTGTGTCCCTTCGATGAAAATTGAGACCAGAACAGGAGGGACAAGGACGTGTTAAAAAAATTAAAACTCTATTTTGGGTGATGAATGGTGATAGATGTTTGCATATGAATTTGGCCTTCCAATATGTTTATTCTTCTCTTGGATTTTTTCGTTTTGACTCTGCAGGGTTCATAATATCAGATTGCGGGAGTGGGTGGATTTGTGTCTTTCTTATCAATTTAGCTAGTTATTCACATTTTTCTGTTAGGAAGTATATGCCTTTTCTGCTAAGTTTGCATGTGTATCTACAAACAAATTTCAGATTTCCGATGGAGTTGGAATGAACGATCAAGACATGATTCTTCATTGTGATTTTGAGAAAATCAGAAGGAATAGATTTGATGCTATATTGAAAATCCAAGAACAGAAGGGTGGGTTAATAGAAGCTGAAACACGTGAAGTTGTACGTCCACCTGGTGTTTACCTTCTTCAGCGATCGACAGTGGATGATGTCAAAGAACCAGACGATCAACAACATGAAAAAGAAGACCCCCCTGGAAATTCTCAAACAACTTCATCATCAAACGGCCATGCTGCAAAAAAGAACTTCACTAGGAGACATAAACCAAGAAAGCAAGTTAGGCAGTGGGTCAAGAAATAAAACATTACCACCAAGTTAGCACATTTGAATCTCTTTAAATTAGCTATTTAACTCGCATCTTTTTCTTTCATCATATGTGATGTGTGAATCGTTCACATCGAGTCTGCTGAAGGAAATCATATTTCCTACTTTGCCATCTTAAATTTACTAGTCTGTTATCTTTTTTTTTACGTGACACCAATAATATTGGAAATAATTACTAAAATGATTCCTTAGACTTTTCAATGGATAAAAATGAGACGATGGCCCTTGCGTTGTATGGTTATGTTAAAAGAACAGACATAATTCTTATTTTCAAAAGAATTTGGAATTGGCTAATACTCCATATGAATTGACATATGATATCAGAGTCAAAGAATACTTCATCCGCCTTATTATTTTCTTTCTTAGTTGTTCCAAAACCTTGGTAACTTTCCCTTTTGATCAATTAATTTGTGATTCTTGTTATATCTTCTTCTGTACAAATCTCAACAACATAGTTTTTATTTTATTATAAATCGTTGTGCTGGTTAAATTTGTCAAAGATTAAAGAAAGGAAAGGAGTATTTGGTAAACACAGGAGACAAACAGTGTAAAATTGACCCTCTACTAATGCTCTAAAAGGCGTAAGACGTAACGAGGCGGCACGACCAAGCTCGAGGCCTTTGAAGCCTAGGTGGATTTAGACGAAGGCTAGGTGTGAACAGAAATTTTAGTTTTGTAAGAGATACTCCGTATATGCAACTTTAGTGAGTATTATTTTAATTTTCCTGCTATTATTTCATGGGTATATGTGATATTACAAAATAACACATACAAAATTACACTTATATGAAAACATTTTACGTTGTGATGGCGTATAGAAATCCATGCTGGATTACTGACATTTTGCCTCTTAAAATCGAGTAGTAAACTGGAGTAGTACTTCGTATCAGGTTCCATCCAGTATAAACACCTTTCTCCACGCCTATTGACTAGGTGAGTCATTTTGTAGGCGCATCAAGTCTAGGGTCAACTAGATGGCGCGTTTTCGAGCTTTTTTAAACACTGGATGGAGGTATTAATATTTACTATCGTATTTTTTTTTTAAAAATTGAGGCCCTAAATAAATGGGCGCCCTTGGCACATGCCTAGGGCAACTCCCATATCATTAATTACATACTCCATAGTCCGTACTATTATTTATGGGAAAGTTCCCGAAATAGGACTAAATAAGTTTAAAAATTCCAAAATAGGACTGTCATGTTTTTATTCCCAAAATAGAAGTAATTACTGTCAAGTTTAGAAAATACTGTCATCTTTAAAGCCTGGTACTGCCAAAACATGACAGTAATTAGTCCTATTTTGGGAATAAAAACATGACAGTCCTATTTTTGGAATATAGAAGTGCTTTTAGTCCTATTTAGGGTAATTTTTCGTTATTTTATCAAGCAACTATTTTAATTCAGTCAATCTTCTTTTTTGAAATATAATAACCATTATTACATACTATTATTTTATCAAGCAACTTCTTTAATTCATGTTTTTTGTAAGTAAGCTAGTGTGGTTTTGAAAAAATTATTTCCAATGAAATATTAAAAGGGGTTTTTCCTAAAACATTACTAATAAAAAAGTCATGCACAAAAATATAGCGTGGTATATTAGAAATTATAATTGTGTGCAAAGTCATGAAAGATGGGGACAATGTTCTAAAAGGCACTAGGAACTAGTCGAGCCCTTGCTTAGCGCCTGGGCGGTGTATTAAATAATACTCCCACGTCCCGCTAAGATTGTCCCCATCTTTCATTTTCGGTTCATCTGAGTAAGATTGTCTCATATCAAATTGATAAATTTTTTGTGATTCTAAATCATTTTTACTTTACTCTTACTTTATCAATTCAATATCAGCCACATAAACTAACTTTTCTTAATAATCGCACCACCTCCTCATATTCCAATGTTAGTGGGACAGAAATAGTAATAACATATATGTAGTAAAATTTTATACAAACATGTATAGTTCTTAACCTACGGCTAATAGCTTTCTTTATTTGCTTTGTTAAAGCTACAGTTACATATATCTCTTAGAAAACTAAAATAAAAATAAAAATAAACATTCGGCCAATCTAGATGCCCTAGACAGTCGATTAAGTGCTCTGGGCAGCCAAATAGGTCATAGATAACTGACTAATTCACCTAGGTGCCAAACCAATTAATTTGGGCGCTCGACCACCACCTAGCGCCTAGGCATGGACTAGTCGGGCGCGCGTCTAGAGCAATTTTTAGAATTGTTCATCATAGTGACTACTGACTACACATATAGTCTCTGCGATGTAACTTTGAACACAATTATAGTAAATAATAGTTACCAAGTCATATTTTTGTCTATTACTTTTCTAGAAGTAATAGTGAAAATTTTTCATAAAAAAGTGTAAATTTTGTATGTATATTACGTAGTATGTAATATCACATATACATATGAAATAATAGTAGGAAAGTTAAAATAATACGGAGTAGTAAAAAACTAAAACGCTTTTTTCACGCTTAGGCCTCGCCTAAATTCCCTTAGGCTTCAAAGGCTTTAGGTTTGGTCGTTCCGCTTCGGCATGCCTTACGTCATTTGGAAGATAAAGTATATGTGATTGATATTGAATTGATAAAGTAAGACTTAGGTAAGAATGAATTAGAACAACAAAAATTTTATCAAATTTGGAATGAGACAATTTATTGGGATAGATAGAAAAGGAAAATCTTTCTTTTTCTTATTAACGGGGCCAAGGGAGTACTATTTCTCCTAAAAAAAATAAGCTCTTTGTTTTCCTTTTTGGGTCATTCTAAATTGATCTTTCCATTCATTTTGAGAATTTAAAAATATGAGTTTTATCATTTTACTTTTTCTACTCAATTCTCAACTACATATTCTTTTTTATCAACTTTATTAATTAACATGTCAATCCAAGCAAAATGTTTAATTGAGGATGAAACTAAAGGGGATATCATTAGTATAGCATACCATTAGAATCTATGCAGCATTTTAATTTATACATACAATTAGACAAACATTTATTATTTAAAATTCAAAAAAAGAATATACTTTTATGGTTTGAAAAATATTTCATTTGAACATATCGTTTGAAAATACTGATCGATTGTTTTTATTTTCGCTTTTTGTTTCCTTTTTCTTGTTGTTTGATTTTCTAAATACATGTTATTATTACATATAGATGTAGAAAAGTACAATTCAGCATTCATGATATTTTTACTTGAATTTATTTTAGTCTCAGACTAATCCAGATCAGGTTAGATCAAACTTAAACAGACCACACATTTACAGTTATAAAATACGCAGAGACGAAACATCTACCTGATCAGATCAAACAAGACCACAAAATTTTAGTCCAAATAAAAACATTCTTATTGCGTGATTATATTGTTACCTTTGTAGTAAAGAGACATAATTCTTTTTATAGTTGGTATTATTAATAAAAGGTAAAAATGTACAGGTTGTTTGGCAACACTGTTTTTCGGCTTATCAGACTTATCACCCAACTTTTTCACCAAACACGCAACTTTTGCTTTTGCGCGCTGAATTGTGTAATAAGCAGAAAAAGTAAGGTTGTAGTTACTTTTCTAGCTATATTGGCTGAAGTTACTGTAGATGACCATTTTAGCTATTTTTACATATACTTTTTTCTTTATTTTATTAATAAAATATTTTTTAAAAATATTTTTTTCTTAAACCAGCAGAATCAGCCAATGCAACCACTTCAGCTAGAACTTCATAAATTTAAGCAGAATCAGCCAAATCAGCCGATTTTGGTGCTACTAAACGGGCTCGTAGTCTGCCTCCGAATTATGTAAAAAAGATTAGACGGTGGATACAAAAGATAAAGTATGAAAAAAAACCAGTAGACTTTAATTCGAAATGTGTTGGTTTTGAATAGAAAAGAAATAAGGTGTATTTGACAAAATGACGTAGATCAGTAGATGCAGTATTTTGGAGCTAGAAAATATATTTTAAAAAATTCTTATGCAATGTCCCTATCTCCCTATGCAATGTCATCTTCAAAATTGTTTCTATGGTCCTAGCTAACAGACTCCAAAAAATACTCCCAAAGTGCATTTCAAGTGAACAATCGGGCTTCATATCAGGTCGTTCTATCTTAGATAATGTATTGATTGCTAGTGAGATAATACATTATCTAAAGTGCAAAACAAGAGGAAACAGGGGTGCAGCGGCTCTTAAGATTGACATAAGTAAAGCGATGACCGAGTTGATTGGGGTTATCTTTTCTCTGTTCTTGAGAGGATGGGTTTCATCTTGAAATGGATTTCCTGGATGAAGATGTGTGTGACTACAGTAAGGTACATGGTTGCATTAATGAAGAAAAGGTGGGACCAATAGTACCTCGGAGAGGCTTGCGACGGGGGATCCGTTATCCCCCTATCTGTTCATCTTGTGTGCAGAAGGGTTATCGGCTCTAATTCGCCAGTACAAAAGAAGAGGTGCTATGCATGGAATAAAGATATGTAGAGGAGCTCCAATGATTAGTCATCTCCTTTTTGCGGATGCTAGTTTCTTGTTCTTTCAAGTAGAGGCGAGTGATGCACAAGTTAATGATATCTTAAAAAGCTACGCCTCAGCTTCGGGACGATACATTAACTTTCAAAAGTCTGAATTATTTTTTAGCAGGAATACCGAGGCATCAAAGAGGGCCCAAATTGCGAATATTATCGGAGTGCGTGAAGGTATGGGTACTGGTGTTATTGGGCTTCGTTGTATATTTTGTAGATTAGCCTTAGTTGTATTTCATGGGCCAAGGGCTACCAAGGGCTATCTTTGTATCTATAAATATTGTAATCTTCTTATGCATAAGATAAGATAGATTGGCTCCCAAATTATAACTTCGAATATACTTCAGCCGTACTCATAGCCGAATATGGTATCAGAGCAGCGCATGTAATGCCCTACGCATTATGGACGGAAGCAAAAACAAAGAGAATGAAGCCAGCGTCTTCGTCTTCTACCTTTGCCATGACTGACCCGTCTATCCGGCCTAAAGGACCTCCTGCCGGACAAGGAGGTACTGCTCGTGCACATGCTATGTCTTCGGCACCAGGCAGCAGCAGTGGACCGAGTTTTGGAGCGAACCAGGCAGCAACGATCCCCGGTAGTGGGACCGGCAGTGGGACAGCCCCATCTGGTGAGACAAACGTACTAAACGAATTAACTAGGGAACAAGTTCAGGCACTTTTGAATTTGATTAATGTTGCTCCTACTTCATGTGATCGCATGCCGGGTACGTTTACTTCTTTGCCTTGGATTATTGATACCGGGGCATCCCACCACGTCACGGGTGATTTGTCTTGTTTAATCGATTGTGTTCGTATTAATGCGTGCCCGATTGGCTTGCCCGATGGAAGAACCGTGACTGCCGAAGTAGAGGGTCGAGTACCTCTGAATAAAAATCTCGTTCTGGATCATGTGCTTTATGTGCCCGGCCTGAATTGTCATCTTATATCTGTCTCTCAACGGATTGATAAGAGTGATTGTATTGTAGTTTTCACTAATTTATTTTGTGCTATACATGACCTACACTCGAGGAACCTGATTGGAGCCGGTGAACGGAGAGATGCGCTATATTATTTCTGGGGAATTCCTGCACTGAATTCTGTTCACGCATCAGGACTTTCAGATTTCGAGCTATGGCACCGACGTCTTGGTCATCCCTCAGATAGGGTCATCAGATTATTACCTCATTTTGTTACTAGTTCCTCTGTCAAAAAATTAAATAAAGCCTGCGAGGTATGTCCGCAAGCCAAACAAGTTCGTGACTCTTTTACTATCAATAGCTTTCGCGCTAGTCGCATTTTGGAACTTGTACATTGTGATTTGTGGGGCCCTTATAAAACTCCTTCTACGTGTGATGCTATTTATTTTCTCACTCTGGTTGATGATTTTTCGCGGGCCGTGTGGGTCTACTTATTGCGTGACAAAAAGGAGGTGTTTCGATTTTTCTTGTCCTTTATTACTATGGTGGAAAAACAATATGAGGTGTCTGTAAAAACCATTTGTAGTGATAACGGGACCGAGTTTAAATGTATGCTTCCTTATTTTGAAACTCGTGACATTGTTTTTCAAACATCATGCGTCGAAACACCTCAGCATAATGGTCGTGTTGAGCGGAAGCATCGTCACATTTTAAATGTGGCTAGGGCCTTGATGTTTCAGGCCGATGTACCTATTCATTTATGGGGGGAGTGCGTTCTCACGGCTGTGCATGTTATTAATCGCACTCCTTCCGGCTTACTGGGAGGTAAGACCCCGTATGAAGTCTTTACTGGCCAGATTCCGGATTTTTCCCACTTGAGGGTTTTTGGATGTTTGAGTTTTGCATTTAACTTGAAATCTCGAGGTGATAAATTTGCGCCGCGGAGTAGGAGTTGTGTTTTTATTGGATATCCTTCTGGCAAGAAAGGTTGGAAATTATATGATTTGGCTACCGGTGATATTTTTGTTTCTCGCGATGTGAAATTTCACGAGGATCGCTTCCCTTTTTCTGAGCAACCGAACATGGCATCACCTCCCGACTCCGCACATCAAGACGGCGGGGTGGTTATTTTTTATGATCCAGTAGAGCCCGTCTCCCATGAGGCTGCTGCGTACGTACCTCCTACAGATACCACCTCTGCCACTTCCCATGCAGACACACAGGTTGTACCCCTTGGACGTGGTATGCGCGAAAAACGCTCATCTGTTCTCTTACGGGATTTTGTCACTCATCACGTGCAAACACATAACCCATCTACTCCGACATCATCTTCTTTCAGTTCCTCAGGTACGCCGTATCCTTTAGCACATTATATAAATTGTGAAAAATTTTCTCCCCGTTACCGCCAGTTTCTTGGAGCTGTTCTTGCAGGACAGGAACCACGTTCTTTCCAGGAGGCCATGAAGGATCCGGGCTGGCAGCATGCTATGGCCGACGAGGTTCGTGCTCTTGAGACCAACTATACATGGGATGTAGTCCCCTTGCCTCCTGGGAAGAAAACACTTGGTAGTAAATGGGTTTACAAAATCAAGTATAATTCTGATGGCACGGTAGAACGGCTCAAAGCGCGGCTGGTTGTCCTTGGGAACCATCAACGGGCGGGTATTGATTACACGAAAACTTTTGCTCCTGTTGCTAAGATGGTAACCGTGCGTATGTTTTTAGCGATTGCTGCAGCCAAAAATTGGGAGTTACACCAGATGGATGTGCACAATGCCTTCCTCCATGGTGATTTGGGTGAAGAGGTTTACATGAAACCTCCACCCGGTTTTTCTTCTCGACCAAATACAATTTGCAGGTTAAAGAAGTCTCTCTACGGTTTACGGCAAGCTCCCCGGTGTTGGTTCGCTAAGCTGACTAATTCTTTGCGGGACTATGGTTTTTCTCAGTCCAAATCTGATTATTCTTTATTTACTTACTGCCGAGGTGCCATTCGCTTACATGTTCTTATTTATGTGGATGATCTTATTGTTGCTGGCAATGATTCTCCTGCTGTGTCCCGTTTCAAGCAATATCTGCATACCTGTTTTCATATGAAGGATTTGGGTCCTCTTAAATATTTTCTGGGTGTCGAAGTGGCCCGCAGTGCTGAGGGGTTGTTTCTTTGTCAACGAAAATATGCACTGGATATTATTTCTGAAGACGGTCTTCTTGGTGCTAAGTCGTCTCCATGTCCTATGGAACCGAATCATTCTTTAGCTCTTGCTACAGGGGACTTACTTTCGGATCCCAAACCATACTGGGGTCTTGTGGGACGACTTATCTTCTTGTCTTTTACTCGACCAGATTTAGCTTATGCTGTTCATATTTTGTCTCAGTTTATGCAGGCACCGCGCCAGGAACATTGGCATGCTGCTGTTCGCGTTGTTCGCTATCTTAAAGGAGCACCCGGTCAGGGTATACTCCTCTCTTCTTCGTCTGATCTCCAGATGACGGCCTGGTGTGATTCAGATTGGGCTAGTTGTCCTCTTACACGACGTTCTCTCACTGTTTGGATAATTTTCCTTGGGAGCTCTCCTATTTCTTGGAAGACGAAGAAACAACTTACAGTATCTCGTTCGTCCACTGAGGCCGAATACAGGTCTATGGCCGCAGTCACTGCAGAGCTTAAATGGCTCAAGAGTCTTCTTCTTTCACTTGGGGTTGCACATCCTCGCCCTATATCTTTGTTTTGTGATAGTCGTTCTGCTCTTCATATTGCTCAAAATCCTGTGTTTCATGAACGAACCAAACACATTGAAGTTGACTGTCACTATGTACGCGATGCTATTCAGGATGGTTTTCTCACGACTTGTCATGTTGCTACTACTGCTCAGTTGGCAGATATTTTTACCAAATCTCTTGGACACCGACAGTTCCTTTTTCTTCTCAGCAAGTTGGGCATTTTTAATCCCCATGCTCCAACTTGAGGGGGAGTGTTATTGGGCTTCGTTGTATATTTTGTAGATTAGCCTTAGTTGTATTTCATGGGCCAAGGGCTACCAAGGGCTATCTTTGTATCTATAAATATTGTAATCTCCTTATGCATAAGATAAGATAGATTGGCTCCCAAATTATAACTTCGAATATACTTCAGCCGTACTCATAGCCGAATAACTGGAAAATTCCTTGGCCTCCTATCTATGATTGGAAGGGAAAAAAGGCCATCTTTAATTATATTAAAGATCCAATCTGGCGAAAGGTGTCTAGTTGGAGCAGCAAGACTCTCTCTCAGGCGGGCAGGGAAGTCCTCATCAAATCAGTTGCTCAGGCTATTCCAGCATATTGTATGAGTACTTTCCTATTGCCCTCGACGCTTCAGGAGGAATTAGAAAGAATGTTAAATTCTTTCTGGTGGGGTGCAAAGAAAGAGGGAGGGAGAGGAATTAACTGGCTGAGCTGGGACAAGTTAACGGTTAGAAAAGAAGACGGGGGCATGGACTTTCGACATCTCCATGGTTTCAACCTTGCAATGTTGGGGAAACAAGGTTGGAAACTTATTTCCGACCCAGAGGCTATGGTTTCACGAATTCTCAAAGCCAAATATTACCCGAAGGAGGATTTTACTAGGGCGGCTGCAGCCATAATACCATTTTTACTTGGCATAGCATCTGGTCGGCCCAAACATTGATTAAGGAGGGATATCGTTGGAGTATTGGAGATGGTAAGGACATATGTGTCTGCGATCAACCTTGGCTTCGGGATGATAATGATCCTAGATTCATACAGAGTGACCTATTACCGCACATGACCTTCGAGTGGCAGACCTCATTGATAAAGAAGCGGGCTGTTGGAAGGAGGAGTTAGTTAGGCAAATGTTTAATCAGAGAGACACTCTGGCTATTCTATCTATTCCTTTACTGCGACTGACCCGAAAGGACTCTATTGTTTGGAGATTTGAAAAGGATGGAATCTTCTCAGTTAAGAGCGCCTACCGTGTTTGCATGGATAAGCTTATAAATCAAAATCACCTGAAGAGAGAAGGTCCATGGAGGAGGATCTGGACGATGGCCATCCCACCAAAGGTTCGCACCTTTCTTTGGCGCATTGGGCGTAACTGCTTACCAAACATGAATAATCTATGTGCAAAGGGAATTAACTGCCCAGACATGTGTGTTAGCTGCGGTGGAGGCCCGGAAAATGCATGGCATACCTTCCTAGTTTGCCCGGATAGTGAGAGATGTTGGATCAACTTGGGTTTGCTGGAAGAGTTTGCACCAGACATGCAAACGACTGAAAGTTTTGTGCAGTTTTTCTTAGGAAGAGTGGCTGCTCTTCCTGAGCACAAATTGAAATTTTTTAGTATGACTCTCTAGACTATTTGGCGAAAGAGAAATCTGTGTTATGGGAGGGGGTTCATGAGACGCCAGAACATGTGTTAATTCGAGGGGCCAGAACACTGTATACACGGGAAATAGCACAACAGTTGAACGAAATTAAGTCTTTTAATCATAAAAAAATTGTCAAATGGCAGGCTCCTCCACAGGGATATGTAAAATGTAATGTTGATGCAGCTATATTTGAGTCTGACAGGAAAGTGGGGTATGGAGCTTGTGTTAGGAACCATCTGGGACGTTTTTGTATGGCCCGAACAGAATGGTGTCGGGTTGCTCTTATTCCTGTTGTGGCAGAGGCTTGGGGTTTGAAGCTAGCTATGAAATGGATGGCGGGTTTAGCTTACCGGCAGGTTATTTTTGAAACAGACTGCAAGCAATTTGTTGATGATGTTCTCTCTAATAGGGATATTTGATCTGAATATGGGTCACTCGTGGAGGATTGTAGATCACTTCTGAATGCTCACGCTGGTTATCATGTTGTGTTTAGTAGGCGACAAGCGAATGGTTGTGCCCATGATTTGGCTAAGACATCTACTATGTATGCTTATTGCAAGCAATTTTTATTTATCCCCAGTTGTATTCTGAATGTTATCAATAATGAAATGCAGTAAGTTTTTCTCTTTAAAAAAAAACACTTATCGTCTAGGGCCCCAAAAATGCCGTAAACGGTCCTCATAAATATTGTTTGTGTGATTTGGAAATACTAGTACGTAGTTATATATGTTATGCTCATAGTATACTATCAACTGATTCAACATTGAGGTTACGATTATATATTACATAATTGTCGTCCTCCACTAGTACTCTTATGGTTGGAAAAGTAGTGACCACTTTGAGGCCACAAATCACTTCACCAATTACAGGTTAAAGCTAGATCTTGTTTCATGTACCTATAGCCAGTCAACGGGGGATCTAAAAGTTTTGTCAAGGAGGGGCACTTCCGCATGGGCGGGAATTGGTTGGGTCGAGTTGTTAGATCACTAGTCTTTTATGTCTTGCCCGTACAGATTATTATTTGCAATCAGAAACAGATTATTCAATGTTAGTTTCAAGCAGTGTACATCTACGGATTATAAGTTTAGAAAGACATAGTTTGGATTAAAAATGAATCGTCCTTGCGCTGTTACTGATTTTGGATTGGAATTCATGTTTGTTCACACGACAAAATGGTCAGGATTTTGGTTCTGAACTAGGATCATGCCCAACGCTACACGTTGTGGCCAAAT